GCCTTTAATCAACGTTTTGCAAAAAAATCCAAACAGAACAAATGTGTTTTTAATACCAAAAATAAAATATTCCATAAAAATTGTTAAACAGTTACCAGAATTTCCGGCTTCTTTGATTTCATTAGTTAGACGAGCGCCTGATTTTACCTCGATGCTTCACAGTGACAAATGTATGCTGATATATATATAATATAGCGGTATCTGTGGTGTAGCGGTTAGAGGTCAGATGTTATGTCGTCGCACTCAGAGGACGTCGGATCAATTCCCGAGTGGGGAGAAGTCTTATCGAGTAGGCTATCGATATCTCGGGGGGGTGCAGGGATGTTGACGTGTATCCCTCCCAGCCCAGGGTTATACCGGGTGCCCATGGAGATGGGATCGGGTCGGTCGAGTTGGGTCGGGTCGGTCCGATCGCCAGACTCGTCCTCTGAAAACAAACGTGTTTGTTTTTGAGGCGACGAGTCGGGCGCGATCAGCTTGTGCCACGATTGCCGCTTTGCGCCCTCAATCTGGCTAGCAAACCGACCCGACTCCCCAATAGGCACCCTGTAAGCTCTGATTGGTAGGGTCGAAGCAGCTCGCCTCCAAAATTTTCTAAATTGTGTCGATGGGGACGTAAAACATCTACAAATGTTGTCGTTGAAAAGTAATGCTGTTCCCGCATCCGATCCGGACATTGGGGATTGGCTTGTTAGTGAGGCAACTTCCTGGGCCTTCGGCATATTGTGGTAGGGTGGCCAGTCTCTTTCCACGTCACTTTTACTTCCCCAACTTGAAGTCAGGTACCCATTACTGCTGATGGGGGCAGGAGGGGGCGAAAAAACCCGTCTCCGACGGAGGCTCGAACCCTGACTTTACGCTTTGGAGACGAGTGCACTAGCCGCTCTGCCACCGCACCCTCATTGTCGTTGTACATTAATTATTTATTTGTGTGCTGTTTGTGTGTATAGAGAGTGGGAATTTTACAACAATTTTATCTCTTGAGATGCAGTACTCATTTTAGAAAGCACCAGTTTGAGGGCTTGAGAACATAGTTAATTTGTTCATCTTGTCATCTTAGCAAACATTCACTCTACAGCTTGCTTCGATCTCATGGCATTCACAGCAAACCCAAAAACACAAAACTAAAAAGCGAAAAAAAAAACGGCCACAACATTTGGTGAAAATGGCAAAAACTCAAACCAAGAAATCCAATAGTGTAAGCAGGTGGGAGACAGATAATAAATCAGTCAATTTACATTGTCTCTCTCTCTCT